TCAGTCATCGGGCTTCTTGTTTCTCATCTTCTCAGTGTTTTCAGACTGCATTCAGTAGCAGCTTTGCCAATTTTTGAATGCATTCATTTTTAATGCAAGGTAATACCTTTCTGTAAATTGCCCCGCTTCTTATTAGCTGCATTATTAATGACAGTTTTAATTTTAAGATAGCAGTTGTTCTGCATCATAAAGAGAGCGCATATACTGTATAAGGGAAACTGTTTTATGTAGGTGCATGTACTAATCTGTTTGTTTGAGTGCAACAGCAAATGCAGAAGTTCCTAACATGAAGCAACAAACTGAACATGTGTGTCATGCAGTGAGTGGTAATAATAGCTTGTATGTTTTCAGCATCATTTGTTTTGAGAATATGTATTTAGAATTTTATGAATTTAGTTTCAGTTTAGCTGTAGGTAATAGTTACATAGACATGAAGGCATAAATAAAGGGTCGTTTTTTTACTCTAGCCTAACAGCTGTGGAAAGAGTCACAGTATGTGCGTGATTTCACTATGAAGTTGCGTTTATATGATGTCCCTCACAGACAGGCCCAGAGAGAAGAGATCTCCATTTTTGAGCTTTTATTTACATGCATATCCAAGTCCTTTATTTGGTTTTTGGATGCAGTTCTTTAGTTGTTGTTCTGGGTTCTTTTCAGACCTCCTGATGGGTCGTGAATGTGCTCTTAGATTAATTTTGGTAGGCCAGCCACTCCTGCAAAGGTTCACCACTATTTTAAGTTCTCCATTTGTGATAATGGCTCTTACTGTGGTTTGCTGAGGTCCGATGACCTTAGAAATGGCTTTATAACCACAGATGATGTCTTTGTTTCCCATCTGTTCCTGAGTTCCTTTAGGCTGTGGTACGATTTGTTTCTTTTTGAGATCTTTAAGCCAGCTTCACTTTGTGAGGCTGTTTAAGTGATTTCTTGATTCCACATGTGTAGCAGTAATCAAACCTGGGTGTGGCTGCTGAAACTGAACTCAGCTTTCCAAAAACGAATTTACTAATCACAGTTACAGTTACTTTTTCAGGTAGTTTTGGATGGACTTCTTCCTCCTTTATAAATGAAATCATCATTTGAAGACTGCATTTTGAAACATTAATGTATAAGAAATATGAACAAATCTAAGAAATTAACAGGGGACAAAATCATTTTCACGTCATTGTACATTTCTAGTTTGTGCTGTGTTAAATACTATGGATAAATATAGTTAGACATGTCCTTGTAAAATTGATGTTTGGACATTTTTACAGCAGAATTAATGGGCCTGCTCATTCTGGAAACCATGTGTTTATATACTGTTAATCCAATTATGAACTATTACTTTCAATATCTGCCACCAAAGACATTCATGACAAACAATAAAACAATGAATTGAATTTTAACTAAGCACATGCATCACTTCTTTGTCTACAGATGGGCTTGAGCCCAATAATATCACTCCAGTCAGGTCTCAAATCATAAAGTAAATTGGATGTGGAGTAAAGGGATAAAGTAAAGGGATAAAAAAGACATTCAGAAAATTAAATGAATGTTACTGTTGCGATAATAGAATTTCAGTCAATAACAATTCTTGATAAAGTGAAGCATTGTTGCAAACAATTTGCAAAGACTTGAAACCTGAGTTGAGTGTTAAACTCTGTTCTCTGTCGTGTTGCACACCTGCAGAACAAGTAGAATATAAACCTGTGGTGGCAAAACAACAAACTAACAAGCTGTCTTTGATAATTACCACAGCAGTCTTTATCTAAACCTCATCACATTTTCCGGCAGATTATTTTAAAGCAAGTTTCTAACAAGTGCATGTTGCGTGTTCACAGCTGAGCCTATGGAGCTACATTTTAAACTTTGCTGAAGTCAGGAAGATGATGTGACTTCACTGCAGAACCCAAGGGAGGAAGATGAAGGAGAGGATGAAGGCTGCCACAGAGCCGTTTAGGTTATCCTCTCATGCACACAATGTCTTGAAGACTTTTTTCCCCATCCTGTGCCCCACTTAGACTGGCAGCCACAGTTTTACTGCATGGCCTGAGTTCTTCTCCCAGATAGCCAAAACCCTTGGGCAACCATTAATTAGCGCACAGTATGCAAAGTTGTTTATATAGCCTATGCATGCTTGTTAAAGAGATAAGGTCTAATCATTAATTAAAGTAAAGTATATATTAAGTACTAAACCATGCAGTTTACAATAAGCATGTGCTTAAAGGGATTCTGAAGGCTGTATAAACAGTATTATTACTGACTATTGTAGTCAAATAATTATGTAGAAAAAATAATTATTACTGGTTACAATTTCAGTTCCATAAGTGTACATCTTTAGCAAAGAGTCGTGCCTTATTTCATTGTCTGGTGTGCTAACCAGGCTCGTTTTGGATCAGCAAACGGAAACTCAGAGGGGACTGTTTCCAGCACGGAAGAAAATGAAGTCTTTGCTGATGGGGAACAGCTGTCTGTGTTCTTACTCTGTGCACCAGTAAGCTGCAGTTTTGTGTGGTTGGTGCATTAAACTGCAAAACTTCTGCAAGGTTACACATGTATACAAAGAGTGTCTTTTGAGATCACCTGCTGATGCAAGGAGATGCAAAATGCAAAAATACTGTGAAATCTAACTGTTTTTGACACATTTGTCTTCATTCCTGTTCTGTTTTTGTGGTGATGCAAAAGAACCTTATAAGCCCATGTCATTTCAAATCACTAGTGTCCTAAAAGAAATTATTATGATAAGAAAATAAAGGCGCAGAATAAATGAAGCCAGCTCTCGTAAATAAGTCAGGCCATCCCCGTTAAGCACAGAGGAAATTTATACACATTGCTTTTCTGAGTATTATTTGGACAATGTGTCATTTTTTTCTTCCACACTGATCATTTAAACACTGAGTGGACATAAAGCGTCTTTTGATTTTAACCCACATAATAGACAGACTCACAGTATTATGTGTTGGGGTGAATTTAAGACTGAAAAACACCATAAATACCATGAATATAACTTATCGAGCACAGGAGAACAGGCAGGTTATTGTTGAGGCTTTGGTGAGTAATTTAAAAGAAAAGCAGTCTTAGGTTTGGTTTGATCAGTAATCAATTCTGTACTTACAGTTGCAAGAAAAATTTTGAACTTTTCACATTTTCACTGAACAAATTGTAATGATTCAAAAGGCAGGCTGGGAAAAATAAGTGAACCTTTGTGCTAAAGCTATTTAAAGTCAGGCATTCAAATTAAGGAGATGAGATTAGAAGTGTGAGTTTTAGAGGTGCCCTGCCCTGTGAATTCAGCCATGCAAAACCCAGTTGCTGAGTCTGCTTTTCTTGAGAAAGAATGACTCGTGCAGCCATGCTTCAATCACGAACGCTCTCATCACACCTTAGAAGAAGCTGGAAATCCTCCAAAAGCATTTCTAAAGACTTTGTTGTTTCTTTATCCACAATAAGAAAAGCTGTCAACAAATGGATGAAATTCAGTAGAGCTACTCTCCATAGGTGTGGGCGTCCTACTAAGAGCACACCAAGAGCACACTGTGTAATTTTAAAAGCGTAACAGAAAGAATAGAAAGAATAAACACCTGCAGAAATCTCTACAACTTGCTAAAATATTTGTTCACAGTAGAATCAGTCAATTGCTATTACAAACCTAAAGAAAATATTTTTGCTTGTTGGTGTCGATTGTTGGTGCATTGCATGCAAGAATTTTAAGAAGGAGATTTGGGTTTGTGTCCAAATTGCAAGACAAGCTTTGTTTTAGAAGTATCTTCTCTATTTTCTCAATTTTGCCTCAAGAGCCTTTCTGAAAAGATCAGACAAAAGAGTTCTCCTAAGTGGCCCTCATCAAATACATGCGCTGCTATCGTTTTGTATTTTGGAGTGGGAGAAAAAGGAGACTTTGCGCATCGACATCAAGAACTAGCCCCAACTGTGAGGCAAGGTGGAGGGAGCAACTTGGTTTGGAGCTGCTTTTTGACCTCAAGGGCTGAACAGTTTGCAGTAGACTGTAAAGTAAATTGAATTAAACAGTGTTACAGTGTTACAGAAGTATGTCAGGGCAGTCTGAGACCTACAAATAAAGAACCGAATAGTTGAGAAAGAATGGAATTCAGACCAAGACTCCTGAACATAATCCAACTTAGATATTGGGGCATCACCTATGGTAATTCACGTTAATAGAACCTCTGTCACCTAGAATCCATAGTTTTGGGTCCAGTTCAATTTGGATCCCCATTACCCTTGAGATTATTTGATTATTATTTATCTCAAGCATCTGGGGGAATAATTACTATCAATTTTATGTAGTATGTAAGGGGTGTAATATATCCTATGAAATATGTTAAATTGCATTTGCCTGTTCCAATAAGTGGTGCCACTCTACCTCTTCATAGACATAGCCCAGGTCTGTTTTTAAAGAGGGCTGTTTAATCATTAAAAGGGTTAAAAAACATTATTATCCGGAGCTTTTAAACAGCTACAAGAAAACACTGATGAGGACGGTTTCTACTAAAAGACGTTCTGAGTTACTATATTTAGTCCAGTTGTTTGTGTTATTTCATCATAGCGTAGTCATGTTGTTTGTTTATAATCGTGACTTAGATCGGACAACATTTTGTGAGTAATACATTCAGAAGTCTGAGTAATTCAGAATCACATTTATTGGCCAAGTATGTGCACAAATACAGGGAATTGGGCCTTGTTATTTTCTTTGCTCTCAATGTATTTTGCAGAGTAGACAGACTAGAACAGCATCCATCTATCCATTCTCTTCCGCTTGTTCAATTCGGGATCGCGAGGGGCTTGGAGTCTATCCCAGCTACCATAGGGAGAAAGGGCTGGATACAGCCTGGACAGGTCGCAATAACAACATGTATAGCATATTTATATTGATATGTGCAGTGGTGCAGAGTGCGAAGATGAAATAAATTATGGAATAAATAAGGAATGGAAAACTGGATATTTTGGTTGAGTCTCCAAACATAACACCATCCACTTATGTCTCCTCTTTCCTTCTGCAGACCTGCGCAGAGACTATGGCTGCTGCACGTTGGAAGCCTCAGTCAGTGGATATTGGCTTTTGGCTCCTCCTGCTCCTCAGCCTCATTCCTGAATGCAGGTACACAAAAATATATATGTCACGCTGTAATGCCCATTCAAGTTCAGTAATCGGGTGTCTGCTGCTGATGTGGGGGTTTTTTTAGGACCTGTTTGATCAGGCTCGCTTCTGCAGCCTAACCAACTTTTTTATTTGCATGGAAAATTTAAGAAATGTATGAAATTAGAATCTTAGTTGTGACTGTCAGATGCAATAACTGGAATGCTATATGGATTACTGAACCACCTATACATTGCACCTGCTCTGCCATGGGAACCCATGCCATGAAGCTCCCGTTGCACAGTTTTTGTGCTGATGTTAACACCAGAGGAAATTTGTTACTCTGCACTTATTCCGTCCGCAGAGCATTGGCAACTTGTTGAGTCTTCATTTAATTTTCCGTGGTCTGAGTTGCTGTGGTTCCTAAATGCTTCCATTTTGCAATACTACCACTTTGAGATTGTAGTGGAACATCCAGGAAGGCAGAAATTTCACAAAGTGAATGTTGCAACAGTGGCATCATATTACAGCACCCCGCTTGAGTTCAATGAGTTCTTCAGAGCGACTCATTCTTTCCCAAATATTTTTACAGTAAAGGCAGACTGCAAGGCCAGATGCTCAGTTTATTCACCTGTGACAGTGGGACTGAAAACACCTGAATTGAGATGTTAAGAATTATGGCTCAATTCTTGTGTATATAGTTCTGCAAGAGCTTAATAATTCAGTGTATAGAGAAAAACTCATCTTCTTTTGTCCTTGCACATATTGAAGTTTTTGTACCCAAGGACCTCAGAGCACTGTGACTCTTAAAATAGAATACACGACATGTGTCCTCAAGAACAGAACAGACATAAAGTGAGTTACCCTCCCATCTAAATGCACCTAGTGCTGTCTTCACCACTCGTCTAAATTTCACTGACTGCTGAGTTAATTTGCGTTGTGCAGCACACCACAGCTATGATTGTCCATTCACAGCATTTTCACTCCTGCATCCTGTGCATATTTTTTCAGGCTGCGTGTTACGAGTCAGCGAAAAAATAAAACTCCAGCATGTCTAGGAGTCATTTTAATCATACTCCTTGTAATTTCAAACGCAGAGATTGCACAGGTTGCCTTGTTTGCATTGTTGATAAGGTAGGATGTTATGGCAGGGAGACGCGACGGAGTGTAAATCACTTTAAGATTTTACACGCTAGGAAAGGCTTGCCGAACCTGGAAGAAAGCCGGTCGGGGAAGGAAATCAGAACACTGTGACAGGGATTAGCCCAGTTTGCTTTGTCACTGTGCCACTTGGCTCTTCTTGCTTATTAGGAGCACACAGTGCTTGTAATTACATATATTAAATAGAAATGTGTGACTTGGGGAAGGTGCTGGCCAAGCCTGGCAAGACATCTTTTTACAAGAACCTGTGCCCTGGTCTTAAAGTAGCTTTCAATTCAGCCAGGTTCATACAGTGTATGTAGATCAACAGATCTTTAGTCAGTGATGAACACAGACTAAACTGACTGAAAAAGTGTCCAGACATATAAGACAGAACTTAGCTCTAACAGTCAGCTGCACTTGTGCCACATTGTTGTATTTATAAAAAAAGGTTTGACATTTATCTAAATAGATGCAGCAGAACCAGAGGCAAATTACTTTATTTAAGACATTCTTCTTCTTCATGAAGCTCTGGAGCCTACTTCTTTCAGCCGGCCCAAACACACACGCATGCACACAGTTCTTATTTTGCAAACTTATTGTCTCCAGTAAACAGTGTCTCAGTGACTTCACTGAACGTTTTTCACAGCTGATCTCTGGAGGTGTCACACTACCTCGAGCTAGAGTTTGCATCAAAATTTGTATCCGTACCATAACTCAGTCAAACAGGAGCACACCGGCGTAACACACATTTTTAGAAAGAGTGTTACCTTTTCTTCTCGAAGTTTTGACTAAACTCCCCTGGTCTTAGAAAACAAGGTGTTCCCTTCATCTGCAGTACTTGGCTAAGACTGATCTAATTTTAAGGTTTACTTCAGTTTAAAAGCATCTGGTGAAGGCAGCCATATCTCTATGATCCAAAAGCTCAGGCTGCAGACTGTGCTAACGTTTAGTTTCTAACATATCTGATATGAGAGCACATATCCCTTGCATGGCCATCTGGCTTTGAGCACAGCAGCCCTACCCACATGCTGCTGCAGCACTGCCCGAGCAGTCAGAGAAAGTTTTAATGCATGTGCCTGATGTGACACGTGACAGGGACTCACTAAAAATCATCTTCCAGTTATTTCAGACGCAATGTAGCACAGCAGTCTCTGCTTAAAACATTTTTCTTTGGTTTAACTTGTACTACACGAGGCTTCACATTTGCTTATTTGAATAAAGACTTTTTTTATGTGTTGAAATCTAAACCTAAACTGAAAAATGGAATTTTTTGCATCTGAAAGTAAAAGTATATTTTAATTGTCCATCAAACTTTGGGTATAATCCTCAGACCATGAGCTTGCACATGCTCCCAGAATATCTGCATATCAGCAAAGCTGTTTCTCTCTGAGAACTGCCACCTCCCTGATGCCCACTGATGCTATCAACAAGCTCCAAATCGGCTTTACTACAGTTGAAGCAGGAGACTTTCCTAATGGATTAAGGTGTAACGGACAAATCCTCCATATAAGGATCTGTCATTCTGCACATCAACAAATTTCCCCACCCCACACTGAAAGTCAGGGCATGATTAAGCTGTTATTCCCAGCAATCCATGGACCACATATAAATGAGAAGTCTGCATAATGGCGAAGGTCCATCAGTCCTTCAGCTTGCCTCGCTTCCACTCTGCCTTCCACTTATAAAGTCGACGCTTAACAAGTGTCGACAGTCAGGCCATCTTGTTGTCTGTTTTGTTTGTAATCTATTGCCAAGCTTCTGGATAACATGGCACATAATCAATAGCTATAAGAATGAAAGTGCTATATGTACACTTTGCCTGTATATTGGCTCTGAAGTTGCCTGGGCTCTGCTGGCTTTGTAAGCTCATCCCACATGAATTATTTACAGCAGGGCAGAGAGGGGCATCACTTTGAGAAGTGACCAGGTCAACAGTTAACATTCTGTTTCAGTGGTGTTGTCAAGGTTAATGTTTCACGGGTCTGGACAAGGGTAAGGTATTCATGGCGGAACTGCTTTCCTGATTGAATGACCAGCCAAATAGTTTCTCAGAGGAGTCAAAAGAAATAGAAAGTCAGAGGTTTGAGAATCTACTTAATGTCAAATCATAGGTTACCTGTCAAGATTTGCCAATTGTATACACCGCGTTTCCTTTCTAATTTGATTTAATTAGTTGGCTGATCAGTTATTTTGGCTTAGCCAGTGTTATAGGGGCCTCAATCATTTGAACAATTGAGTCACTGGTCAAGTGGTCAAAGAGCACACACACACACACACACACACACACACACACACACACACACACACACACACACACACACACAGATCTTTTTTCAATCAAGTTTTTCATTGAACATTAACGTCCTTTTTCACATTCAGGGGATTTTTTTTAGTTTGTTTGTTAAGCAACTTAACACTGACCTATGAGCCATTCAAGTTTCGACCATAAAAAGGCACTTATGGGATGAAACAGTGTTGTGTCTACACATAATAGAAAACTTGGCAAAGAACCAATGACGTCTCAGGCACTTTTTACCTGAAGCCTTTTTGCAACACACAAGTTCTTTTCCAATTTCTTTAGCTGAAGCTTTAAAAAGGAGAAAAATAGCAGAGTTTGACATGAAGTAGTAATTCTGCACCAAGCTGATTCCCAGAAGTTGATTTATCTCAGCATGATATGCAGTGCATCCTCCAAAAATATGAGGAAACTGAACAAATGGAGGACAAACAAGTGTCAGGCCAAAGAAACACAATGTACAGCAGATAAACGGTATCTGAAAGTCACGTTGTTAAGAAATATGAAAAATTCAAGTCTGAAATAGATGGTACAATAAATGGACTGGTTCTTTTGAAACACATTTCTGCTCTAGCTGAGTAATCAAAGCGCTTTATACAGCTTGCGTCTTTCACAGAAGTTCTTTTTATCTAACATTCACACTCCGATGGATGCATAGACGAATATTTTGGGGTAAGTATCTTGCCTCCAGGAATACTTCGCATGTAGACTTGAGCAGGCAGGGATTAAACCAGCAACCTTCCAATTAGTAAATGACCTGTTCTACCTCCTGAGCTACAGCCACCAATAGTACTTGACAGGTGTAACTTGGCCTTCTGCAGATCCATCTAACATGCAGAAAAAACCTCATCAAAAGTAGTCTCAGGGGAAGGGTGGCTGTCAAGAAGCCATACTTAAGGAAAGGAAGCAGGGAAAAAATGTATGATAAATTATACAAGAACTAATAGATAAATAGATAGAAAAACACACAGTGGATCATCTAGATGGAGAACAGAACAAAAAGCACACAGCACCCAAAGACGAGTTTTGAATGTCCTTCTAGAAGCCTGGGGAACTATTCCTGAAAATCTCTTCACCTAGTTCCAGTTTTCCTAGCAAAATATAAAAAAATAAGGCGTGGCTCAAGAGGGAGAGAGAGAAAATTGCAGGGGCAGGGCTGTAGGTCACTTGGACCACAAACCAGCTCAACCACAAACCGTGCCAAACTGGGTCCTTTAAGAGCACCAGCAAGACGCTAATATAGAACTGAACAGGGATCATGGACAAAATATACAGTTAGATCAGGTACGGCATGAAAGGGAAAAAAATTTATTGATCCGTGCTCTAATTACTTTGAAGTTTCAGTCAATTTTATATTGATATACTGAAGATCTGGTCAATAATGTTCCAAGCAACCAATTAGCTGACATCCCCGGCAGGCATGAATCAAAATGAAGACAGAATAGATTTCCCAGTGTCTGTGCAGCTGGGTGTTAGACACAGACCGCTCATTCCTGAAAATGCACAAATGTTGAAAATAATGTGTGATCCTTGTTAAAATGGTCCCTCAGATATTACCAGTTTATAGACTTGTTGGATTCAA